TATATATATATATATATATATATATATATATATATATATATATATCACCTCCGATGAGGGCAGTCCGCCGCCTTACATCAACACAGAGTTGTCACCCCGCTTGGCCCGAGCATACTAGCCAGGTTCGCCCATGTGCCACAGTCCGTCGCGGCCCGCACGTCAACCCCGCATACTCAGCGCCAACTCGTTGGATCGCCCAACTCTCTCGTCTGCTCACCTTCCGAGCTTACTCGTTAGCCGATTCTCACTGACCGCGCTAACTTTCAAATTCATAGAGAGCAAACTAATCGCGCTTGCAAAATTTACAGTATGCATGTTTGCGCGATAAACCCGGGATTATGCCTAAGTGAGAGGAAGGGGAAGAAGAGGAAGTGCCTATGTCTGCATGGCCAAGCCGCGGCGGGGGGGGGGTACGCAGCCACACTCTACGCATTGATCCGTTCATGCAGTCACTTAGGTCAATTAGAATGGAGGACGAGGTATGCGCGACAGAGAAGGAGAAGGTGGGGAAACACGAGAGAGTAAAAAAGAAGGAGCACTATTACAATCGCGTCCGCCAAAAATTACAGTTACACGCAAGATTAAGGGCGCGATACAGTCAGAGCCCAGTCCCCATCGCGGTGAGAGGTGCGCAAGCAAGAAGCGCGGTGCAACAAAAATTTCTAAGGTACCTAAATTCCTATCTAAATCCTAATTTACAAAAATAAATTTCGAAGGGAAAACAATTATGAGAGCGCGCGGGGGCTCGACATCAGTTCAAAAATAAAAAAAAGGATGTTCCACCGCGACGATCGCGCCAATAATTTCCAGTTCCCACAACAGAACAAGAAAGAAGCTATGGCAACAGTTATGCTCCCGCGCCCACTTATTGTTTGTGCGGGACTTTCCCGACCCTGGTTGAAAGTAAAAAAAAAAAAAAAGAAGTGAGGGCATCCATGCAACTTGCCCGACCGACCCATCCTCATGTTCCTCATCCGCCACCCCGTCCGAACCAGTCAAGCAACTTCGCGCAGAAAGTCGCGTGGTTACAAAAGTCAGTTCGTCACATTCACCCCGGAGACATTTCCCCCTGAGACATTTTCGTCATCCTTCGTTATACTCGTCGTTGATTCGGGCTCGTTTGGTTGTAGGAAGGTTCAAAAAATGCAGGCAGGTGCAGGCACGACACTTTGGGGGGGGTTGGCAGTTTCTTTGAAAAATGCGGGACCGGTAGCTGCCCGTGGGACCGGGCGCTGGGTTTTGGTCAAAACGGTGGCAAAGCAGCGGCAGGGTGGATCTTTGGGGAGTGGTGGCAGTTTCTTTGAAAAATGTGGGACCAGTAGCTGCCCGTGGGACCACGCGCAGGTTTTTGGTTGAAACGGTGGCAAAGCAGCGTCAGGGTGGAAAAGTGGAAAAGTCCGAATCGGAAACGGCGCAACCTTGGCCGCAGGTTGAAATGACACACCTGCATTGCATTTGCAAGTGCAAACTGATGTGTCTGAACGTGGATGTATTCAACGCCCCACAAGTTCAGCGACTGATTGAGTGAGTCACATGTGACAAAACAACTCAACAACAAACACTCGAGCACACACATATACGACATATGGACCAAGATTCAAGGACCACCAGCCTCGACACCAGCTATGAATCAAGGTACGTCAAATATCTAATACATTCATACCATACAAATTACCTAAATCCCACACATTCCAACACGAATAGATGTGATAAACACAAACACCCTAAGTATCACACAAACACACACACACTAATCCTGACGCATACACACATACACTCCTTTTTTTTCATGCAACAGTCACCCTACTTCTAAACCTCACCAATAACGCCTCCTTTATTAATCAAGCATATACAAACTACGGGCTGCACACCCTCACGGTAAGTCAATATAAGATAAAGCTTGGTGTTGAGTGTATGTGGGGGTTTGTTCATCGGAGTGTTGTCAGGTGATGTTGGCGCTGTGCGGTGTGTGAGCCTCATTTTAGGGGGGTGAGTCCGGGGTTGGTGGGTGGGGCACCAGGGGACATGGTGCTAGTTTTTACCGTCGGTTTGTGGGACTGGTTCCGACTCGGAGAAATGATTTTTGGGGGGTGAGTCCAGGCTGGTGGGTGGGGCACCAGCATGTACATTGTTCACGGTTGTTGTTGGGCTGCATGGTGTAGTCTGAGAGTCTATGTGTGTGTGTTGACATTGAGATTGAGCTAGATATATGTTTTTTTTGTTATTATTATTATTATTATTATTATTATTATTATTTTTATTTTATTTTTTTTGTGTGTGTAAGTGCTCCGAGCCATCAAAGCATTGTCTGTCTGTGTCTGTGCTGAAATCTGGGCCTGGCCTGATGGCTATGTACATGCTCAAACAGGTATGAACCTGCTTGTGGATCTCTGAAGATATGTTTCTTTTTTTTTCTTCTTTTTATTTCTTGTAAGGTTCATTTTTTATTAGCTCAAAGGACATGAAATAGCATCATGGGGGCCTTCACCTTAGGGGCCTGCCCCACTGGACGACTGTGTCTAGGTCTTCGTTAGGCAATCTGAGGGCCACAACAACAAGAGCCTACCTACCACAACAACAAGAGCCTACCTACTCCCATTAGTACTTTTTGGACTCCTTACGCTGTGGATATAATCGGGGTCAGAGGCATCCAGGTCGTGGTGGAATTCCGGTCTAATACATCCAGTGAAGTCCAAGGTGAGTAGGCCCTGAGATAGATGGTGCAGTCCAGATTCCCGGGGGGGGGGAGGAAACCCCACAGGTGCTATGATTCATATGCTTATAGGAATCACGAACCTGAACGGGATAGAGGGCCGGTTCACGCTACCATAGTTAGTAGAGCGAGAATAGCACAGCACGAGTGGGCCTACAGTATAGGGCTGGCCCTCAGTTGAAATGGTGCAGGTGGGAGTCTTCCCCTACTAAGGGGTGGGGGTAGGTCCCGCTACCGACCGCGGTAGTGCGGGGTGGGGTCCCGGCGACGACGTGTGGCATGCGCCATCGCGGCAGGGGCCGCAGCACGCACACCACAAATGTGGGAAGAAACAAAAACTAATCGGATGTATCTTTAGCGGTTCTTCGGAAAGATACATGCTCAATTTTCCAGATTTGGGGAGCGGTGCGGTGAGGGCTCTGACGCCTGCTTGACGGGCGTTCAATAAGGGCGTAGGGGCGCGCTCCAGTACGCTCCAAATGTGCATGCAAAATGAATGAGAGAGAATGAATATTGACGTAGAACATGGACAGGTGCGCCGCCATTTGTTTTTTTTGTTTTCTTTTGTGCATGTGTGGAGAGTAGTCGAGCGAGGGCCATACTTGCACAGTCAGCCTTTCTTGCATGTATCTGACCGGAATCTCGACCCTCACATGGACGTATCGGACCTCACCCTCGTCCAGATTTCAGTCCAAAAATTTCCGACCGTGGTGTGAGCGTGCATGTTCTTCCTTCCTTTCGTTCGGCCGTACGCGGGATGGGGGGACCACGAGGTACCTCTTTTTTTTTCTTTTTTCTTTTTTTTCTTTGAGTTACCTCTTGTCCGCGCTCTCTGTCCCCCCCTTTTTTTTTTCTTTTTTTTTGCTCGTTTTTTCTTTTGTTCGGCCTCTTGGTTTCTTCCTTTTTCCCCATTTTCTTGTGATGCCTGCCACAGGCCCCACCAGCACCTTTCTTGTGCTGCTAACTATATATTCGTATTCGTCGTAAACACTTATCCAGCGGGACTAAGATGTTCCTGTGGTAAGTAAACGGGTACACATTGGCCTTGGCCGTGTGTCCAAGCGTTCGCAGAAATCTCTTGTAGTCGTTCTACTTCGTGTTCGATCGATCTAGTTGTTCTACTTGTATACGTCAAAGTATACCCAACGAAGTGAAAGAAAGATCTTCCCGCTCGCTCTCGGTAGCGGTAGGAGAGAAGGGGAAGGGAGGACCCCGAGGGAGGACCTCGGAGACCCCGCGCGCGCGCGTGCGTGCGTGCGTGTGCGTGCGTGCGTGTGCGTGCGTGCGTGCGTGCGTACGTGCGTGTGTGTGTGTGTGTGTGTATCCGTGTTTGTTGTACATGTGTGTGTCCTGTGTGCGTGTTTGAGAGAGAGAGAGAGAGAGAGAGAGAGAGAGAGAGAGAGGGCTGAAAGAGCAGAGTCGACGCTGCGGATCAGTGAAAGCTAGCAAGCAAGAGCAGAGTCGACGCTGCGGATCAGTGAAAGCTAGCAAGCAACATCTCTCCATCAGTCTGTGTGTGGGGGGGGTGTGAGAAATGTCGGACAGAGAAGATGTCTCTCGGTCTAGGGTCTCGAGGCGCTGCTGCTTGCTTGCAGCGTAGTAGACTGGTGGTGGTAGTGGTGGACTTGTTCGTCGCAGGTTCAATTTTCTTGTTGCTGGCTATGGTGTGTGTATTGCTGGAGGTCAAGGAAATGCTAGGTTGTCGCCCAGCAGACGAAGGATCGGTATCCGAAGAAAAGGACTAGTAGGATACAAAGAGAGAGAGAGAGAGAGAGAGAGAGAGAGAGAGAGAGAGAGAGAGAGAGAGAGAGAGAGAGAGAGAGAGTTGTCTGGGAAGGGAAATAGGCCTGGTCTGGGAGTGGAATGAGGCCTGGAGATGTCCGGGCGATGATTGCCTGTCCCCACCTTCCGCCCCTTCCTGCTCGAGATCTTGGTCGCCTCCCCCCGTTGGCTGCGAATTGCGCAGTCTGTAGTTTCTGGCCCGTTGGCTGGCTGGTAAAGAAACGAGAAACTGAAAGACGGAAGGAAGGTCAGGTTTGCTCACCGTCTTGAACGACTGGTAGGTTATGGTTATGGTCCTCCATGCGCACGATGTTTCCCTGTGCATTCACTTCTTCTTCGTCTTGAAGCACCCTGGCAAAGGTAGGAGTCCGAGTGCCTGTCCGAAGCGCAGTGCCGTAGGTGAGTGGCATTGGCAGGGACGCCCGCGAGGGGGGTGTGGGAAGGGGGGGGTCTTATCTTTTTCTCAAACGGTCAGTTGAGCTTCCGCTTCCCCTTGACGAGTAAAATATACCGTACGAAGCTTGAACGAAGCTTTTGGATGATTAGTGAGTGGAGTGCATAGATCTCTCCATCTCTCTCTCTCAATTAGGAGAACGTCCGGATCTTGGTGATATCGGGAGTTAGGTGGGAAGACACAGAGAGAGAGAGAGAGAGAGGGGGAGGGGTGGTGGTGGGGGGGAGGAGTTGCTGGCGACGGACCGCCTGAGGTAAAGAAGAAGAAGAAGAAGAAGGAGAAGAAGGAGAAGAAGGAGAGGAAGAAGAGATAGGAGTCGTCGAGGAAAATGCCAGGTGCGCAGCTACTACCGAGAAAGCTGAACGAGCAGCAGCAGCAGCCACGTGTAGTGAGCAACGCGCGTATTGCTGGGCATGACGGTGTGGTGGGGGTTCTGCCGTCAGCGAGGGAGGCAGACGTGCTGCTGACGAAGGCGAAGCTTCGAATATGCGCGAAGCGCGGGAGGGTGGGGGGTGGGGGGGGATATGTGGATCCCGATGCGACCGACACGTCATCTGACGATGATGACGTGGCAGGCTCTCTGCGATTCGCGGGCCTCGAGTATCCGGGAAGCCGTAGGCTCGGTCGTGTCGCCGGTGGAGGGGGGCTGAGCACGGAGGACAACTTATCCTCTTCGTCGGAGGATGAGGAGGAACTAGGACTTGGATTGTTTCGCGCGGGGGGAGGTGGCGGTGCGTGCCGTTTTCTCGTTGGAGGGGGCAGATCGGGGACCGGGATCGGGGGACTGCACGTGAACCCGGCCTGGTGTCGCGCAGCCGCAGGAGCTATGGTGGCTGGGGGAAAGGAGGGAGGAGGAGGGGCTGGAGTGTTAGATGCAATAGGCGGGGGCGGAGGGTCGTGCGCAGGCGCTCCGAAGCCGGGGAAGAACGGTCGCAAGCGCGCAGCGAGCGTAGTCGCCGGCGCAGGGGGAGTGCTTGTCAATAAGTCGTTGAAGATGGCCAAGGGCGGCGGTGCTCTGTCGCCGGGGAGGGCCCCAGCTGTCGCAAGGGGCGCCGGCGGAGCTGCATCAGCTGTCGATGGTGTTGTTCATCGTTTCCGCGGGGTGCGGCAGCGGCCGTGGGGGAAATGGGCCGCGGAGATCCGCGACCCCTCCCGCGGCGTGCGCCTTTGGCTAGGCACATACGATACTGCGGAGGAGGCTGCGCGCGCGTACGATAATGCGGCTAGGAGCATTCGGGGAAGAGGAGCGATGACGAACTTCCCTCTGCCAGGTGACCTGGAACTCCCTGTGCTCTATTCGAAATACTCGTCATCGAATCAGAATCAGCAGCAGCAGCAGCAGCAGCAGCAGCAGCAGCAGGCTACGCTGTACAAAAAGCAGAGCCAAAAGCAACGGAGGAGGAAGAGGGGGTGTGGGGGGGGAACGGAGGGAAAGAAGCAGCAGGAGGAGGGGGATGGGGAGGGGGAGGGAGAAGGTGAAGAAGATGAGGAAGATGAGGATGATGAGGACGATGACTATGGCGGCGTACAGGGTCTCGCCGAGGGTAGCGGTGGTGGTCGTCATCGTAATCGCGGTTCCCTTCGCGGTTCCCATCGCAAACAGCCTGATGAGAAGGAGAGGACGTCAACAGCAAATTATTCCACGACGACGAGCCTGTCGTCTCGTCTTCACCATCGCCAGCAATCGGCGTCCCAAGCTCAACGCCCCCTTCCGTCACTGTCGGGATCGCGATCACCATCATCGCTGAAGCAGCAACCGCAGCCTCTGAACACGACTGGTCAGCAGCAGCAGCAGCAGCAGCAAAGAGAGCTAAACGGGAGGAGAGAGGAGTCGAGCAAGCCAGGTGGTGATGTCCTTGAGCTTGTCGGCCGTGCGCGCGAGGCCGCGGAGATGCCTACAGCGGCCATTTCCGTAGCTCCCAAGGACAAACGTCATCGTCCCCGTCATCATTACCATCATGATCATCATGATGATGATCGTGATCATCATCATCAGCACGAGCAGGAGGAGACGACAGGAGGGGTCGATCCATCTAATCATCGGAAAGATGACAGCGGAATGACAGTCTCAAGTGTGGCTGGCCCGCCGGTCAGCTGCGATTCTTGCGCTGATAATGGGGGAGTTGGAGGGGGAGCGGCAGGGAGCTGCTGCAGCGACGAGCGGACGACGGGCCCGCAGAGCAGCAGCTGTGAGACGACAGGCAAGGCAGGGTCGTCCTTCGGCGGCTCTTCGGCGATGGAATCGACCTCGATGTTCCCGATGAAGAGGAAGAAGAACAAGAAGAAACGAGTAGGAGGCTTAAGAGAGGGCGGGGCGGAGGTAGGCAACGAGGAAGAGGGGGAGGAGAAGAGGAGGATAGATGGGTGCGAGTGTGGGTCTGGTTCTGCTGACGAGATGACGATGACGCATACTCGCAGCGCGGTTTGTACGAGTAGTTGTAGAGTAGAGGATGATCGATTGTCTCTGCTGCGTCCGCAGGCACAAGATGATGATGATGATGATGAGGACGATGAGGACGATGAGGACGAACAAGAAGACCGAGGAGGAGGAAGTCGATGGCGTTGCACCGGAGGTCAGGCACATGGTCCAGGATCATCATCATGTCGGATAGAAGGAGAAGGAGATGGCACTGAGGAGGCGCTCTTCTTGGGTAGAAGACGCCTTCTTGGCTCTCAGTCTTCGTCGGTGTTCCGCCATCTGGAGCTCCAGCAGACGCACGCCGAACGAGTACCGGATGAGTCGTCGTTATTACAAAGTCAGTTACACGACTGTTGTCGTTCGATGGAGGAGGTAGAGATGGTTTCGCCCTGTGTAGGAGGGAGAGGAGGAGGAGGAGGAGGAGGAGGAGGAGCAGGAGAGTATGGATTATCGGCTTCGCAATGTGAGCAAAGAGGAGCAGGAGGGGCAACAGGAGCAGACGACGAAGGGGAGGAGGAGGCGGGAATCTTGGGAGCGAGAGCAACAGCAGTAGGGACTACGGTATTAGGATCATTAGGCGAAGTGTATGATGACGATGACGTGGCTAATCGAGACAGACGGCTCGAGTGTTGTATGGGTATGGTAGTAGATAACGACTGTGTATCGTCGACGTGTGTGTCCGCAATGGACGCGGAACCAATAGCGATGTTTATGGAGGAATTTTCGGCGGGAACCTCCTCAGAGTTCTTGCTGGATATGTCCACGTCATCGTTAGACGTGATGTCATCTCCTCTCTTGCTGTCATCGCTTCCGCTCTATGATTTGGGCATTCCTGACATCGATGACGATTTCTCACCGCCTGCCGTCTGCGTCGGGGAAGGCGGGGTGGGGGGCTTGATCGGGGGACTGTGGGGAATGACGGAGCTGGCGGGAGTGGGGGCGGCAATGGGCGGGGGGGACGCGGGCGGATGTTTTGCTGTGTGACTGTGGTTGGTGAGTGGGGGGGGGGGGGGGGGGGGGGGGGGGGGGGGGGGGGGGGGGAAGGGGAGTGTAAAGGGAGCAGCAGCAGCAGTAGCTGTGGTGAAGATGGGAGAAGAGATGAGATCGAGAATGCATGGAAGCATGCATGTAATGAGAAAGAGGCGAGTTGTAGATTATCTCGTGATAGGTTTGATTGACTGGTTGAGATTTGAAATGGCGGCTGAGAGAAGGGAAGAGAGACGAGAGAGACGACACGAGAGGAGAGGAGAGGAGGAGAGGAGAGGAGAGAAGCATGGAGATGGTCGACCAGGGTCGCTTGCGATGTCGCCTTCGTCAGCAATGGATAGGTAATGAGCATCGTTTTCCTTTTTGTGATTGATTGCTCCCAAGTGGCTGGCATCGGCGAGTGACCTGAAGTTTTGTCGCCGTCCGCGAATTCGACGACAGAGACAGTGAAGAGAGCGAGTGACCGAGTTAGCGATTGAGTTTCAGAGAATTTTCGAGGGAGAGAGTGCGTAGAGCTTGTGCAATTAACCTGTTTCGCTTTCCAACTCACAGAGAGAGAGAGAAAGAGAGAGAGAGAGAGAGAGAGAGAAGTATATACTAAGGATTATGAAAACCTGTTTTTTTGGGTATGCAGTTGACGGTTGCGGCCGGCTTTTGGATGGGCAATACCCTCCTCCCGTCTCCTATATACTATTGTGTTCGGTTCTTTCTTTGTCTGGTCTCATTACAGAGAGAGAGAGAGAGAGAGAGAGAGGAGAGAAAGAATAGGATAGAGAGAGGGTGAGGTTTATTGAAATCCCCTGCGTTTTCTTGGGACTTAATTTTCTTTGGGCGTCTTGTGTTATCAGATGACACGGCGCGAGTGACCAATGGCCTATGAGCTAAGTGAGGTCGGTAATAAGTAAGTTAGTAGACAGAAGGATAGATCTGCTCCCACTTTCAGTGTGTGGGAGAGTTGAGAAGATGGATTCATCTTCCCCCGGCTCCCCGTTGTCCCGTTTCCCCCTGCTCGCTTGTGTCCGAGCAAAGCGCGCGCGAGTGTATCTAGTGTGCAGTCGCCCCCCTCCCTCCCCCCCCCAACACCCAGAGTGTGTGTGTGAGTCAGACACAAAGAGAGAGAGAGAGAGAGAGAGAGAGAGAGAGAGAGAGAGAGAGAGAGAGATGTTGCGGGAGCATGTTGCACAAATGAGTTTATCAAAGTGAGCGAGTAAGATAGACTACTTAGTTATCAGACAGATACACAGAGAGAGAGAGAGAGAGAGAGAGAGAGAGAGAGAGAGTTGGGGAATGAGGGATTGATACCTACTTCCATCAATTGGTGGGCAGTGTAATGAATCGAAAGAGATAACGTCGAAGTCGAACAAGCAATTGTGTTCTTCTCTCTCATCCGGGAAGGAAAAGATATATATCCGGGAACCAACCTTGTTGAACCCATGCAGAGCAGTTTGTCATTGTTTGTTTGCTTAACTTTGTCTCTCTGCCTTTTCGGTTCTCTACCCTTCTTCCCTCCCCCCCCCCTGTCCTCTCACCTAGCTAGTGCTTTTAAACCCCGTTGGCGGGTTTGCCTGTGCAATTTTCCACGTATCTGGTGCGTGGAAGCAAAAACATTTTTGGAGGCCTTTTTTTTTTTTTTTTTTTTTAAAGGTGAAAATAGACGATCGTCTTTGCCCACTTCCTCTCTTCTCTCGCTCTCTTCTTTCTTCTCTCTTTTTTCTTCTCTCTTTTTTCTTCTCTCTTTTTTCTTCTCTCTTTTTTTTCTTTGTGTCTCTGAGGTCTCTTCCCTTTTCTTTGTCTGTCAGGTCTTGTTTCGGATCTCTTCGTGCAATATTGACGTCGTCGCTCCTTTCCTTTCTTGGAAACCTTGTTTTTCTTCTCACGTGTCGTCAGTCCTTTCCTTTCCTTTCTTGGAAACCTTTTTTATTTTATCTTCTCAATCTCGTTCCGCTTTCTTGCAGAAAAAAAAACTGGTCGCCAATTAGAGCGCCTTCACAGCAACGGAGGATTGTATTTGGTGCTTTGGGTGGCTCATTGCAAAATATAAAAGCGAGATTAAGATCGCAAAAAAAAAAAAAAAAAAGGCTGCAAGAAATGAGAAAAGTGAAAAAAAAAAAAAAGTGAAAAATCAGTCGAAGACATTGCCATATGTCACTCGCACGATGGATCTTGATTTTCCTGAAAAAAACGAAGTCAGGAAAGAATAAAAGTACAAAAAGATCCCAGGTCACCGTTCGAACGTCCTGCGTTACGGTCCCCCGCAATTCCCCYCCCCYCCCCYCCCCYTACCCYTCYCCCCCCCCCCCAAACAAGACCCCCCCGCGCGCCTCTGGAAACCCTCGTCTCCCCCCATATGGCCCTCCGACCTGGAAACCCCCCGTGCCCAAAAGAACCAGGAAAAAAAACACCAGGTCACTATATTCGCCCACAGGCCGCCCTTCCCGTTTCTTTTCCCCCTTTTTTTTTTTTTTTGGTTCTTGTCCTTTCTGTTTCTATGCTCCTTTTATGAGTTTTCTGTTTTTTTTTTGGCCTCTTTTTCGCTCGACCATTCCTTTCGCAAGGGCCATTTATCTGGATTTCGCGGTGATTAGTAAAGAATTGGGCCCTACTTTGGATTTTCAGCCCAATTCTCTGCTCACCAAGCTGTTGAGATCACTCTGCTGCTGTCCGTTCTTTTCCTTTAGTTTTTTTAAATTTTTTTATTCCCTTTATATTCCGTTGCTTGTGACTATTCCCTTTGGCGACTATTCCTTTACCTGCGCTGTTTTTTTTTTTTTTTTTTTTGGGAATTACCTGCTCTTTTATTTCCCTTGTCTTTTCCATTATTCGCGCTTTCTTTTTTTTTTGTGTGTGTGCGCGCCGTCTTCGCATTGAGCTCTTTCCTTTTTTTTGTTTTTTTTTACCCCACGTTATTACGTCTTTTTTTTTTCTCGTTTTTCCGTTGTTTGCCGTGTCTTTTTTTTCGATACGTTCCGTTGCCCGTCTTCGCCTTTCTCTGATCGTCGCTCTCTTTTTCTCACGTTCCATTAATTTTTCCTGATTTTGAGTTTTAATTAATTAATTAATTAATACAACTCGCAATTCTAGACTAGATGTAGGCATTGTGCTTGTGGGAAAGACTCTGGGCCTCGCTCCATGAATCACCAAATGCGCAAGTTGAGAATGAATCTTCCTCGAGAACATGGATAGATACACCACCATAGTTTGTCTTTTGTGCATGTGAGGGAGAGTAGTGGAGCGAGGCCCTCTCTCGAGTTTGGATCTGGTTAAATTTTTTTGCTCTTTTTCTTTTGGGGGGTTCAAGAACCCTTTTCGTATTTTATGTAATCCTGAGCACGAAGATACAGGAGGGGGAAAAAAAGGGAAAAAAAAAAAAAAAAAGGGAAAGGGGAGGTGAAGCGTATGGGATGGGACTAGCATTTCATCTTTAGCGTCTCGATAGACAATGAATCCATAGACAAGATAAGTAGCGAGCAAAAAGTTTATCTGCCTTTTTTTTTTTTTTTTTTTTTTTTTTTTTTTTTTTTTTTTTTTTTTTTTCCCGATCTTCTTGATAGACAATCATTGTAAGTAATTTGCGAGTCGCGGCGAGCAAACAGGTTATCTGATTTCTTTTTTTTCTTTTTCTTTTTTTTCATATTGATTCCTACTTTTTCTTTTTTTCCTTTTTTTTTTTTGCGTTTTCCTGCCCCTCTCTGCCCGCTTCTCCCGCTTTTCTTTTCCCCTACCCTTCTCGATCACCATATTGTATTATTATTATTGTTATTATTATTATTATTACTATTATTATTACTATTATTATTATCATTACTATATTATTTTTAATACCTATCCCGACATATGTGAGCGTGGCTTTCTTGCCTCCGACGGGGTAGTCTTGAGGGGAAGAAGGGCCTCGCCGCATATAACGGTCGAAATAAAAGGTGTTCATGTTGAAATCGGAGTGCATGTTTCTGCCGAGAGCGGCAAAATGCATCCGTTTGCTATGGATAATATAACGGACGCATCTTTCCATCTTTCTGTGGAAGATGCATCCGTTCTTCTTCGTTTCGGCAGTGTGATGTGGCGAGGGCCTAAGAAAAGGGAAGGTAAAGGAAAACCGAACTTTTCGACAAGGATAGTGGAACAAAAAAGAAAAAGAAAGAGATCGAAGTATCGGAGTTCTTTTTCGAAACCCAAGCCAGCGATCCAAAATCGGAACTGCGCTCATGTCTTTTTTTTTTCTTTTTCTTTTCTTTTTGCTGAAATGCCACTCCCCAGGTGTTGGAAGGGGGGGGGGGGGGGGGGGGTGGTGTGAGGGATGGTAGGGCCTCTGTGAGATAGCTGACGATTTCTTCCATTGGCGGTGGGGAGCTGCACGTGCTGAAAAACGGCCGTAGCCTCCCTTACGAATATAAATGACGATGAAAATAATTAATCACTGAAGTTTTCTCGTGTCAAGTCTCTTTTTCATGTTGTCGTTGTTATTGTTGTCGAAATAAGAAAAAAAAAATCGAAATAAGAAGAGAAAAAACAAAATCACTCCCTGATCTAGGTAGGTGTATATATTCACCATGCCTCTGAAAAAAAAAATCGAGAAAAAGTACAAGGAAAAAAAAAAGGGTCTGATCTAGGAAGCTGTATATATTTCACCATACCTCTAACAAGACCTCGCACCGTACGTAGTCTCACCATTTTTCTCTCTTTTTTTTTTTTTTTTTTTTTTTTCTCTCTTTTGCGCACGGTGATAGGGAAAGGGGAGAGAGAGAGAGAGAGAGAGAGAGGCATCATTTTTCTCCCACGCACGGTGGTTGGGGAAGAAGACATACACACACACACACGGACCATTTTTCTCCCTTTTGCGCACGGTGGTAGGGAAAGGAGACGCACACACACACACACACACACAGAGAGAGAGAGAGAGAGAGAGAGAGAGAGAGAGGTTTGTATTCCGCCGTTGGCGAAGGAGCGATTGCGCGTTCATGGGGGAGAAGGACAAAGAAAAAATTATCTGGGAAGGTGTTTTGCGTGCTTCTCTCGCGGATGAGAAAAACAAGAAGGCTTCTGAAAAAAAGGGGAAAAAAAAAAATGCCGAGTGCGCAGATATTTACAGTGCACACGTTCAAATGGTGTCGTGTTAAAGAACAAGAAAAGAAAAAGGGAGACGAGGACACCAAACAAAATATGGTGGGTCGCGAAAGAAACAATAAAAGAAAAACAGGAGGGCCGCTCGAGGGTTATATATACATACAATGTGTGAAGCGTATATACAATGTGGTTTTTTGAGTGCGCAGTCTTCACGTGGACGCCTCAGAAGGCAAGATGCAGAGAGAAGAGAAGGGGAACCGATGGGAGCCCGAGATGCGGGGTCTTAGCTTTTTGGTTGAGAAAAAATGACAGAAAATAGATATGTCCAAGAGGGAGAGAGGGGGGGGGGGGGGGGGGGGGGGGGGGGGGGGGGGGAAGGGGCGGGGAGAAAGGGTTGCGCTCGCTGGGGTTCGTATAGTGGAGCTCTGCAGTTTCTATGGCGCTTTGTCCCCAAAGCGCCTTGCTGTGCTTTCTCGGTTCTTAACGTTTAATCTTCTGCGGTGGGCGACTGCAGGGGTACTAGTAGACACGAGGAGGTGGACATGTCTTGATGCGCAGGAACAAAGAACGCGCGCGCGCGCGTGCGAGAGAGAGAGAGAGAAACCACCTTCAGGGGCAAGACAAGAGGAGTGAGCGTTTATCCCGGTGCACGCGCCCGCACACAGGTACACAAAGACACACACACACACACACACACACACACACACACACAGAGAGAGAGAGAGAGAGAGAGAGAGAGAGAGAATTCTGGTCTAGTTTCGTTCTTCTTTTGCACCTACATCGCGGCCTTCCACAGGGGAAAACTATATTGAGCAATGTATGGAGTCTTTTAAGATGGCTTGCCATATCTCGCTTTGTCCTCGTCCTTTTCCAAGAACTTCTCCGCGCGCAGTCGCAGAGGAGAGGATGTATTGTGATGTCGTCGGTCGAGGGGGAGGATGGTTAGGGGGAGGGGGAGGGGGAGGCGGGGGGGGGGGGGGGGGTTCCGAAGGGGAGAGGGGAGGTTGCCGAGGTGGTCTCCATGCGTTTTGTTCTCGTCAACTTTCAAGATCCTTTCCTTCCTCCCTGACAAACAGGCCCTAGTTGCACCACTCGCCATATGGCAACATTTTGAATGCATCTGGACGGCCTGTCGGACCAGATGCATTCATAATCTTGGCGGATGGCGAGTAGTGCGACCACGGGCCCCGAACACGGCAAGGAGGTGTGGGCGTTGCTGGTCAGTATGTTATGTTTTTGGGAAACTTGGTATTTATTTTTTGGTTGGGGTAAGCCGTTCCTCCTCCTC